TTGGTCTCCACATTAGGGTAAATATACTGATAGCATGGAGAAGCTCAGTCTGTGACCCCTTACTGCAAGAACAAGTCAATACAACTTTAGTATTTACTACATCAGGCATGAGCTGCATGCTCCAGAAGCTTTGACAAAATATGGGAATGAATAACAGTTATTTTCATTTTTCATTTATCATTGTTGTAGGCCTAAAGTGATTTTTAAATTGTCCAATTATAATTTTTTTTTTACATTTCGTCAACTAAAACGTGCCCAGCCTCAATAGCAGTGGTTGTCCTGAGAGTCGCTAGCTAGCTCTTGGGAGGAAGGATTTCCTAGTGCATGGATGTGTGTTTGCTTTTACCACCAACACTGCTGGATTATCAGTATGATAATGATCTGTGGCAAGAAATTAGAATTATAAGGCTCAAATATGGTTTGTTTTTTTTTTTTTGGTTGTTTTTTTTTGGACAAATAAGGCACTTTAGTTTGAAAAGGTTGCTGACGCTGTACATGACCAACTGAGTTTTCTGCTCTGCTCAAAAAGTATGTCTTTATTTGCACGATGATGTTCTAACTTCAAAATGTTCTATTTCTGTATATCTTGGAATAACTTGTAATCAATGAGTATAATTTTCCTCCAAAACTTCCCATGTTATTAGTGAGTGAAAGTGAGATTTTCTACTATTGTTAAGATGTTTCTACTTTATTAGATTGTATCCAGTGAGTTTTAGTAATGAAGTAGAGTAGACATGATGACATGCAATTAAGGTCTAATATAATCTTTGGCTGGAAATAATTTGACTGTATGTGAGTGTATGGTAAAAAAGAGCCAACCTTAGATACTGGAGCAGTTATAGTCTGGTAGGATGCTAGTTTGAAGGAATGAAGCACTTGCATCTGGGAAGTGAATCCTCTCTGTATAGATAAAGACCAAAAATTAAAACAGTCTTGGCACACCTGTAAAAATAGCCATGGTGCCACCTGGGTTAACTTTAAGCCTTAACCCAACAAAAAGATGTTTAAGTAACTTGAGTGTGTCTTTGTGAGAATCAAGAGGCCTGCACTGGGAATTATTAGCAATCAAAGGCTTCAAAAATCTGACGTCAGTCAAAGATTTTGCTCCTTCATACACACATGTTCACAACCACACACTGAGACACACACACACACACACACACACACACACACACACACACACACACACACACACACACACACACACACACACACACACACCTTATTTAACGGTATCGTTCTAATAGTGATGAAAGTAGTATCTTCCTATAAAAACACAGTGAAACATTGTCTATTGTGGCAGGTTGAAAATGTGATTAACTTGCATGCATTGACACCCAAACAAATCCATGTAATAAAATACATACACCCTGCATGGTGTATTGTATTATGAAATCCAGTATTATAGTTTAAATGAGAGTTGTTTATCTGTTGGATATGATGCAAACCAATACATTAGTACAATTCCAATTGAAGATCCGACACGACATGGCGAAATATGACATGATATGATTTAAAATTATACTTGATATTTAATGCCAAACAAATGAATATAATTAAATACATGAAACATCAGAGTACAACACAGTATAGACTATTGTATGAACTTATATTCCTCATCACTCAATGGGTTCAAGCTTGTCGCACATCAATAAGATCCTGTTACTTCACCTCCCAGTGCCTGAAACTTTTCTCTTCCTTATGTGTCCCAATAAATTATTTTGAATACAAACAAGTTTTTGTTCAAGTTATTGATGATTTAGATACTCTTCAAAGATCAGGATTTGTTCCAAATGAGTTAAGAATATGTGCACAGCTGTTGCTCGCTCACACATATGGCTTTTGTTGAGATGCTGAAAACACAGACATGGCTGTTCAGTATATATGATTTTTTTTTTTTTTTTTTTGGTCTGGAAGAACCATATACAGAGGTGATTCAGAGGAGTCCAAGCTGGGGGGGTCTTACAGTCTGTGGTCTGCCCACTGACACACTGTGGAACAATGCCTTGGATTCTCCAGAGATCCTGTAGAGACTCTGAAGAATGACATCAGACTCGCACTTTGCCAGAAGCAGTTCTCAGTTTCTCAGTGATTTATGATTTAGGTAGTCCTCTAAACTCAGATTTGATGGTGCAAAATATTTGTGCAGGATGTCAACTCAACAGTGTGAAGTTTTATCCAACAATGAGGACAAGGAGGAGATTTAGTTTCATGTTTCCATCCGTCTGGTGGAATGACTTAACAGTAATAATAACAACCCGGCCTGTTCATCTCCTGTTATATCCCATTCTATCTTTAAATATAAGGTAAAGATTTCTCAAGGACACAAATACTATTTCAGAAGTGCACAGCTGATTCGGACTGAGCTTCAATAAAAAGCTGGTTTCAAGGTTTTATGAGGCTTTAAAACATCTGTTTATAAACTGTCTCCAGACATTTTCTCTGAAAGACAAAGTCTTTGACAAGAGAAATTGTAACAGCAGATTTTGTGTATGGAAAAAGACCACTACACATTGTGTGTGTGTTTTAATTAGGACTTTTAAAACAGTTTCCCAACACCCAACCACACATGAAAGAGGGGAATAGACGTGGAGGGGGTTGTAAAATTACCCCCAATCCCCAAGTTGCGTTTGTTGTGACTACAATAGAGCAGTAAAACAGAGATCTGGACACTGCATCCTGGGAGTACAGTAAGTTTTTCCAAAGGTCTGGTTTGTGCACGGGCTAGAGAGCAAACAAACACATTCAGGACATGCACATACACAATGTAACACAGTTGCTCTAGTTCTTGACCTGCTCTTATACAGACTTTACAAAATGAGAGTAGCAGCAGAAGTTACCCTAATGTCAGCACACATATTTAGCAGCAGTAACGTACATCATGTCCACCACCTTAGTTTGCCATCTAACATGTCTCTTCACCACTGACACACATCTATTCAACACACAGCATAATCTTCAGTCTTCAGCCCTGCTAACTGCCCCTGGTGTCTGATTCAATATGCAACATCTTTCAGCATCTGTTGTAGATTGTTAAACTTCACAGCCGTTACTGTGAACTGTGGCACAAAATCACAAACTCATGAAGCCAGCAATTTTGGTGGAGTTCACAGTAAGACATGGAGTTTTATAACACATATAGTCAGCAGATTTGATCAGTTTGACTTAGATGAAAGGGTAAAGCAACATCTGCAAAACATGTACAAGGACTATACGATGGTAAAGTTTGTATCAATGCAGTGACTGACGCAGCAACGAAGAACTCTAAAACTTTCAGGGTCCTTCTGTCATTCCCTCATACGTTTGCAATTCAAAGTTGCGCTCCCTCAAAATAGCTATAAAACTGGGGCTTTTTTTAGCCAAAAATGGTAATAGTAGGGGCACATGAAGGGGCATATTTTAATCAGAAAATAAACTAGAGTCTGCCAGGATTCAGAAGTTCAAACATCCAGACTGTTGGAGAGGATTCAAGGTTAATTTGGAAACCCGGCTTCTGCAAAAAACATTCATCCCAAAGCACTGGGTGATTTGTTTCGGATTTAACAAGGGGTGGTAAAATTAGGTCTACATAATTAACGGGTTTAATTAGAGAGCCTGTCTTTAAAAGTTTAATTAAGTCCTACATGTACAAGGAGGATGGCACTTGCCTTCATTCCCCCCCCCTTTTTTCATCCATCCTGGCTCATAACGGAAAAACAGTGGGTGGTGTTGGTTCTTAAAAGTTTAACGTTGTGACCGAGAGCGGATGCTGTCTGCCATGTGTCACTGTTTCCGAAATTTATAACAGAAGGCAAAACCATGGATGGTGTGTCAAACAAAACTGCAATTACTGGAAGAATTAGTAATTTTAGTTGTTGACTTTGTGCACAAAAATAGTGTATCTCCTCTGCCAAAACAACCACATTGCAAGAGAGTGTGCAATCAGATGGTCAGATATTACTGAATAATTATGATACCAGTTCTCAATAACTCAGAAAGGTCAAGCATATATATATGCATGAAAACATTATGTTAGGGGTAATTTCTGATGTATGTGATGCCTGGACTTTTGCACATGAATTCACATGCCTTTACTCCTGGTGCACATAAAGCTACACTCACCCTCGCGGCATGGTAAATGCACATACCTGTACCATATGTTAAGCCATATGGTTTTGTGTATTCTGTGTATTACTGTAAGTGACACTGAAAACAGCCTTTGAAGAGGAGGGTTATTTGTGCGACAGCCAGTAAACTCAAGGTAAATTGGGAACATACCAAGGAAGAAAACACAGTCTAAAACTCTCTCCCACAATTCATAAAAGAACAAAGAATCAAGGCTGAGCGTGCCATTAAGGAGAGGGGCTTAAATGTGCTTCTTGCTTGGTGGCACCCTGCATTTTTAGCTGTTATATCACGTCTACTTTTACTTATTAACTTTGACTGGAAAACCTAAAGGAATCTCCATCTCGTTCATACATATTCTAACCAAGCACACACACACGTACGTGCACACATTGCTGAGATAACACATCCCTGCAGCTGTTGCAGGGAGTGAATAATGGGCCATGCCAACTCCCAGAGTGCACTGTGGGAAAAAAGCTGATATAACAGGAGAAACAGCAGCATTGCATCATTGCCATCACTTTCACCTTGGATTCAGGTCAGGTGAATCCACTTTCATATTAGGGCTTTCACTGCTCAGTCACTAGGTGTATTCAGTCAGTTGCACTTTGATGCTGTGCTGTGCAGCCAGTGCGTGACACATGATGATGAAGAGCAGCAAGACTTCAGTAAATGACTATTTCCCGCCATCTGCTGGACAGTCACAGCAAGGGTGAAAGGAGATTTTGGATCGAGTGCACTCGTTTATAACTTTTACAAATCTTCTTATATTATCAGCTGGTAAACTTTAATGCGCAAAGAGCTAAATGTAGCTTTCACATAAACAACCAATGTAAAAATAAAAAAAGGGGTTTTCACCTGATATCACAGGGGGCGGGTGGTGCCGTTGCTGTGGTAACCACAACACGCCATTGATTCAGCCGGAGAGAAGTCTGTGATTTGATTTTGCTATCGTTAGTTGTACTTAAAAGTGTATTTAAAGGCGTACGGTGTTGATAGTTTCTAGTTTTATAGGACAACAAAGTCTTGAGGGACGTGTGTGAGGATTCCAGGGATTCAAAAGTAAGTAAGTAAGTTTGTTTAGCAGACAAACACCGACACAAACATTAACTAGTTAATGCTAGGTTATTTGTAGGGTAGCTAAGCATTGGTTTTATGCTTTAAGTGTGTAACTCGCTAAAGCGTGTTGTTTTTAGCGGTGTGGGCTAAAATTATTAATTAGCTCAAAAAGGTGTCGCGACAATACATTACAGTATCTGTGTTTCAAAGTCAAACACTGAAAAGGAGAGCTAGCGTTACTTTGTAAGAATGCCATTGATAATCTGACCTGTTGCCTACTTCAGGTTAATTGTTTTTGTTTTTTTTATCGCATACAGCTAATATAAGGACACAATAGATATATTTTCTGTCTGTTATCCTTTCCTTTCTATTGGTCTTATTGTTAAGATGCCCCAGAAATTGATGCCAAATGTATCTTGACTTTGATTTCCGGCAACAGAAGAGTTCCAACCAACTCTAATCTTTTCAGAATAAAAGCCCCATTTTCACGTATTTAACTGATACTTTGTGTAATCTGCTTGTACAGTTATCATCATCATAGTATTATTATTTATTCTGTGGTGGTTATGGAAAAAAAACAACCTACAATTCCTCAAAGTAATCTTGAATACTGTATCTATTTATGTGTTTTGCATTAGTGAGTCTGTCTGAGGAGCAGCAGGATAGCAGGCCTCCCAGCAGAGGAAAAGTGAAGCTGGAAGATCAAGAGGAGGAGGAGGCAATGGAGGAGGAGGAGGAGGAGGAGGAGGAGGAGGAGGAGGAGGAGGCAATGGAGAAGAACACCCCTCTAGTGGCCCTTGCACCTGATGCTTCGCTCCCAGAGGAGCTGCCCACTGCCAGTACTGATGTCTCTGCTAGTCCTGCTTTCCAGTGCTTAGATGAGGTAAGTCATATGTCTTCTGAAAGGCATTTTGGAGGTTTCATATGAAAGATAAATATCACATTTGGCAGTTGGAGTGACAGTATTTACCCTGATTGCTGAAAACAAGGACTAATGTATTTAACCAGTTTATTCATTTAATCTAAATTGATGTTTGGAATAGAATGTGATACTGTAGATTGATTCATGTGCCTTACAGCATTTATCCTTAAAACATTTTTAATATTCAAACAAAAGTGAATACTTGGAACTTGAAATCATCACGTGGATGAGCACAATACATTTTTATTTACTTGATCGTCACATACAGTAAACAGACATTAAAGTCACAGGCCCACAGTTTGATCATAAACCTCTGTGAAGTTAATATGAACTCACTCTTTTACTGAGTTGCTTTATTGAGTCAACACCTCATTAACCCATTTATTATGGGCATGCAGCACCTCATCCCTCCATTTTTACAGGCATCAAATAGCCCTGGATACTAGACGGCAGACACTTCAGAGTTTGTGTTTTCTACTCATGGATACTCATGCTTAACTTGTATACATTTTTGTATACATTCATTAAAAAGGTGAACCCAATACAGAAGATGCTTTTAAAGATGAGCAGGCATCAGTATGATATCAAGCTGCCAAACACTGCAATGTACACAGCCATGTAGTTAGAATTTTATTCATGTTTTGATATAAAAAGTGCATATCTTTTGGCATGACAGTTGAATATGAATGATAGAAAAGAGCAATATTGTACACACACAAAGCTCCAACTACACACATAATTACTATGAATGGTCACAATAATGCACAGTCGTTGTCATTGCTCGAATATCAACAATCATTGAACCTTGTACTGTATGCCCTATGTATAATATAAAAGCTATCATACCTCACAAAATAAAATAAATACTGTACACGTCCTTAAAGTGAAACATTTCTTTCCCCATCCTTCCCATTCACAGTGTGTATAGAATGGATTAAATGATGCAATACAGTTTTCTAACAATAGGCAGCAGTATTGTACAAGTGGTGAGTCAGGGAGAAATGTTTTTTTTTACATTTGAAAACTGGTGTATGGCATCAATATATTTGCAGTAGTTCAGTGCACCCAGAGACAAGGGTGGAAAAACTATTTTTTTCCTTGCTGCAGTGTCCTGCTCCGTGGCTGCTGTCAAGAATTTTACTAATGCATCAATAATGTAGAATGTGCTTGGCAATGGTCCAATAGAAATTTATCTCAGACTGCATATTTATACTGGGATATTTTATATTATATAGTATGATGACACATTACTGAAGTGTCTGTGTAATTAAATGAACGACGCCGCTGCCCAGAGGGTGTTGTATATCACTTCCTGTATTATAATTTTTTTAATACTCTGTCTTTCACAATGAATTTCAGATGCACTCAAAACTATATCATTATTTCTCATATACCTCACTCGAGTGGCTGCTGTTAATTATTAAACCATTTAGAGCGGAGAAAATGATTGCTCGTTAGTTTTTAGTACTACTGTGTGCTGTGCTGCGTCTCAGCGGGGGTTTATAGCAGGAGGCAGCAGGACAGAAAGTGTGGAAATGTCAGAGAAACATTGAAAAAATCTCTCATGGTAACCCTTCGTATAATATTATGGCCCCTGTAGGAGGCTGGCCTTTACATTGCATGTGTTTTTTTTTTTATTAGTCCATCATCGTTCATAGTCCATTGTCCTTTATTATCATCATTTTAATCCAACATTTTGAAGGCCACACTCACCCCAGTGGAAAAAAGTAATAGCACAGTTAATTTTTTTCTCAATTACTTTTGTTATTACTGCATTCAAACTGTCTATAGGACTTATAGTCTTTTTCGGTGTACACGTATGCATGTGTAAATGTGTGCAAATGCATGACTATGCGCATGTGTATGAGTTTCTGAGTCTACTTGTTCTTCCATTTTCTGACTGTCTTTGTTTTGTGTTGTGTCCGTCTATCTGTCCATCTGACTATACTCATCAATATTTACCTGTCCTCTTAAGGGGCAAAGTTCTTGGGCCGTATCATCATCTTGACAGTCTTGAAGGCCTGCCTGTAGTTGGTAGGGTAGTACTCTGTCGACATGTTGTGCCATGTTCCCCAGAAGATCCCGTTCCTGACTCCCTTGTACCTCTTGTGATAGTACTTCCCGTTGAGGTTGGCGGACATGCAGGCATCGAACCACCAGCCGGAGCTGTAGTAGGCGCCGCAGTTCCCGGATGGATACATGTCGTTGTCACGGTCGGGCGTGGAGAAAAACTTCTGGTCATGATTGAAGTGCTTGTTGAAACTGATGGCGTTCCCAGCTGTCCCACTATAATGCAATGACACATCAGTATATATATATCTAAGATATAGTCCTCCTTTATCAATATTTGATCACACATGCATAGAATAACCTGGCAATAAATCTGATTCTGATTCAGAATGTAATATTGTACCTGTATCCACTGATAGACAGCCGGTAGCGTAGGTATTCATTGGCCACGTAGAACTGGTCGTACTTTGCATACTCCCGAACACCCTCAAAGTCCTCCAGCTCGATACGCAAGATCATGTCTTTGGCTTTTGTCATCAAGTGGATATGGTCATTGCCCAGCCAGAACTCATCTCTGCAGCAGAGGGAAAGGCAGAGGAAGGAGGGGAGAGACCAGAGCGAAATGAAAAATAGATTATAAACGAGCTCATATGCTTGTACACTTGATTAGAAAGTGGATACAGTTACTCAAACTGAATTTACTCATCCCTGCAGGGGAGGAGAGGCAAGGAGGAGATGCAAGGGGAGAGTAGTGTGACAGTGAAAGAAGATGAGAGGAGGCGTTATTCTTTCAGTGGGAGGTTATACTAGATGTGTAGGCACGGTTAGCAAGAGGTAACCATGGTTATTTCCCTCATAAAAGTCCGTCCTACAGAAGCTGAGATGACAATAGAGAAAATGAGCGGAAATTCTAATCTAGTTAGAGGCTATAGTAGAGGCTCCGCATTAAAACTATATAAATAAATATGTGAAAAGGCTTGCTCCCTCCATTTTTACTGGGACCTGTTTCACAATTTTTAACATTTATTTTTGGATTTAAATAATTAATTTTTGGTTAACACATTTATTATCTGTTAAAATAGGTCAGCCCACTGTGGTGATATATGTTTACTTGGTTGTTTTACGTGTGATAATCAGTGAGTGAGAACAGGTGGTGAACAATCAGTGATAGTGGGAACAGGTGTGCATCGTTAGGTCCTCTCAGCACTGAGTGAGCGGGCACCCTCCAGTTGTGGGAAGAAGGGTAAAACTACTTTCCAGCAAATTACATTCTGTTAAAGTCGGTGCACTGATGGGTGTGCATGGATGCCCAGATATAGATTTTACTGGAATAACTGAGAAATCCTGAGTTAATGCTTATTTCACTATTGTGTTGGGGTTTTTTTTATATTTGTATCGGTCTAGCTCACCCCTTTAGTTTCCTGAGCAGGTGGTAGGTTCCAGTTAGGCGAGTCTGAGAAGTTAATAAAGGTTTGGGAGAGTAGTGGGAGCTTCCTCTGAAGCTGTGGGTTTAAGCTGTTGATTTTCCCATCATCATTTGTTCACTGTTACATTGTTCTAGTTAAAAGGGTGCTCTGGTGATTTATTATTGCATTTCCATGAAGTTTGGGGATTTACAAGAGATGGATTAAAAGTGACATTATCAGGGTTATTTTCTCTGACTTAGTTTTCCAGTGCCACACAGCATCAACTGCGTGCCTCATGGGGTGTCATGACAGTCAGCATTTAACCTCTTTGTGGTCATGTTTAAAACTCTCCCTAGCCCAATTCTGCCTATGTGATATTTTTGCCTATCCTGCATACAAATAGCAGAAAATTAAGCTTTTTGCCACTAAAGTTTGTTGATAATTCCAAGAATCCCTCAATCACCTCCACTATTTTACAACAAATGTTTTTTTTGATTTAAGAATAAGGCTTAAAAATGCCAGTTGGATATAAATTCTCATCTATGCAAGCTTCTTAGCAACACCTGAGAAATGTTTTCACCCATCTTAAGATATATTGTGAGAGGAACCCAGGAATAATACCCCAGTTTCTTTTTAAGTGCCTATGTAGTTTCTATCTTATACTGTTCTTATTTTCATTTTATGTACTTTTAAACAATTTTTCACTGTAATTATTTCTACCCTTGTACCTCTACCATAATGCTCCAATTTCCCTCTGGGGGGTCAATAAAAGATTATCTTATCTTATCTCTTAGCCGTTTACCTGAGGTTCCCGAAACCTTTCTTGTACTCGGTCCAGGTGCGATTGAAGCTGACAGACCCATCGAGCCGTTGCTGTATCACCGTCCATCCACCTCCATAGGATTCCATGTCACAAAAGACATCAAATGTCCCGTTGCGGGGATCAGGGGTCACACGATACACACCGTTCTTCCTCACCTCCAGCACATTGTAGTCTGAACAGTCCCGAGGGGCTAACATGACTGCTTGGGGGGACAGAGAGAGAAAGAGGGGGGGAAAAGAAGAGCGGGCAGTTGTTAAGGGAATGTTCTATTCAATCATCTTTTCACTTCTCTGGCATTTTTTTCTTCTGAACCAGGATACAGTAATAGAAACAGCCCCTGAGGCTAAGGATAGGGAAAGAAAATGCGATAAGTTGACAGGAAATCCAGCTTTAACCATTGTAGAAGTTCTCATTCCTGCATTAATTTCCAGGGCAGTCTATTCAAATACAAAACAGTTCAGCAAGTTCTTTAGCCAACCTGCTACAAGACTATTCCCTTGTTCATTGTGTGGATCAAACTAAAGTTCAGCAAGTCATCAAGCATAAAATAGTAAAGCATAAAATATACTGTCTTTCAGTAAGTGTTTTAAAAACACTAGCCTATCCACTGCCTCTCAACATGATGTCCCCTTTCGGAGTATCTGGACTAACATTAAGGAAAGTAAGTGGAAGGACAAAGGCCACTGTCAAAGGATACAAGTCAGTGACCTTCCCCTGTGCTG